TATTATTAGTTGCATATTATCTATTCCTAACAGTCGTTATTTTGCATAGTAAATAAACGTTTATTTAAAATGAATTTTTCTTCCCTGTAAATTGTTTATAATATATCGAAGTAGCGGAATTCATAACATGAAGAAAGGACGTTTCTTTAAGCATATCAACTTAATCGGAAGAACTCGTCTAGCGAGGGAAAAAAAAATAAAACAAGAATGAAATCAATCCTTAGCAGATAGGAAAGCAAATTCTTGCCTGATTAAAATGCTAATTGAATTATGTTCGCAACTTCCGATAAATTTTTATTTTGCTAATTTTTAATTTTAAAACGATATAAAAGTTTTGATCTTATTATGTAAACATGCGATAGGGAGGATTACGTAAACCTCGGTGATAGCACGAGATAATTAATAATTAATTAATGCTCGATGTATCACTGATGCGGCAGCAGAAATTGTTAGAACTTCATTAAAAAGAATGAAAGAGTGAGTTGTGGCTATGGAAGTGACTATGCCTACTACATATTCAAATACTTCCTACTTACTACATGCGGTAACTAATAATTATTATGTTTATTTAAGAGCTTAAATAATTTAATATTAACAAATCCATATAAATCGCAGGTGATTAATGGCTTTCTTTAACGTAATGTCAATAAATGTCTCTTTCAACAGAAATTAAAATAAATTAGTACATCTTCGATTATTTACTTTAAATACTAATTTACGTTAAATACGTTTCATTTTCAAAGTTCCGATTAGGTTAAGGCATTTTATAAATTATGCAATCAATTCAATGTGATCAAGATATATAAAACTGAATATGTCTTAATTTAAATAATGGAACACCGAATTCGTTACTCAATTAAATAAGAAAATTTCGATTTAATAAAAAAAATGCGGTAGAAAATTATAAAAGTTGTACGTTAGAAATAAAACACATGACAGTAATTTTAGTGAGATTTAATGGCAACGGAATATATTTTCTTATATTATAAGGTATTTTCTCCCTTCTTTATGCATGCCATTTAGGCGTAACGGTAGCACATTCGCCTCGTATTTGAGAGGTCCAAGGTTCGAGTCCCAGCGAGGGTATTGCTCATTTTTCATGTCTCCTGCTTCAAAATAATAAACTAATGACTCTACAGTGGCGTCTAAACTAAAAGGCGGTGGATGATGATTTTTCACAACCAGAATTTGGCGACTGTGTTCCCCAATCCCCCAATCGCCCTTTAAAAGGAGGAAGTATATAAGGTCTTCTTGCCTTCGTGGTTTAACGGTAGCATACTCGGCGCGAATTAGAGAGGTCCAGGTTCGAGTCCTGGCAAGGGTATTGCTCATTTTTCGTGTTTTCTACATCAAAAATCCTAATTACTCTATAACATTACCTTCGGAATCACTTTAAAAATGACATTCAATCACAAAAATCAATCATAAAAAAAATTAATTTTTATAAATGTTTACGGCATTTAGCAGTCCTCTAAGTACATAGCGCTTAAATAGTGTTCTGATAGTAAACAACTTTTCTTCCATTGCAGTTTTTCTCTACCTTTTCAGGACTATAAAGACAATACTTAGGAGATTTTACGATGGAAAGGTTTACCATCAAGCAGAGGACAAAATATTTTCAGTTTGAAAATTAATGCTCTGTTAATTTGACACAACAAATATCCCGCCGCTCAAGATGCGCCTAGTGCATCAACAGTTTACCGATTGGTTCAAGATTTCCAGCAACAAACAGTGTGGGAAATGTTTGGCAATCACATAATTTCCCTACTTTCACATTCTAACAGACCATGATGATCGCCACATTTAACGACCGCAGGCATTTTTTCCCGCTGTCAAATCATAAGGAAAGAAAAATAAATGAAAATAAGACAATATTTAAAGTCAATCTTTGAAAGATAATTCAAGAGTTATGATTCAAAATTTTTAAATTCCGGTATTATTTTTAAATTATAGTGTAAGCATGCAGAATCATTAGGTTATTTCGAAGCAGGAGAGATGAAAAAAAGGCAATGTCCTCGCCAGGACTCGAACCACGGACCTCTCCAATACGCGCCGAGTGTGCTGATCACTACACCACGAAGGCATGCTAAGAAGGCGGAAGAAATACCTTATATATTCTTCCTTTTAAAGAGCGACTGGGGATTAGGGGACCCAGACGCCAAATCCTAGTGGTGAAGCAGTGGTGAGGCAAGAAAGAACATCTCTTCCCAGGCACAGCCTTCAGGAAGCGGGACATTGACGTTACGAAATTTTAGAATAAAATAATTTTCCATTCTTGACACACAGAAAGGGGCGCAAAATCTTCAGTTGTCCCCGGGCACTGAAAACCTAGCTACGCCTCTATGGTGAAGAATCATCATCTACCACCTTTTTTTAGTTCAGGCTATAGAGACATTAGGTCATTTCAAAGCAGGAGAGATGAAAAATGAGCAATGCCCTCATTGTGACACGAACCACGGACCTTTCGAATTAGCGCCAAGTGTGCTGACCACTACACCACGAAGGCATGCTAAGAAGGCGGGAAAAATATCTAATAAAATTATTTCTAATAAATTATATTTGATGCTAAGAACGGCAAAAAAAAAAATTGTTGAAAGAAAAATTTTTATTCCTTATTCAAATCATGCGCCAACCATTGCATTTGAATCTACACCGTAATGTGCGTTTTGGAAAATTTTCTGCATCATTTTTAATTTTATCTTAAGAAATGATAAGATCACATTCACTTAAGCATCACAAATACTAGGAAATTTTTAACTCGTTCCAGATGTATACTTATTACTCGTATATTAATGCTAAGCTGTCTTAATGAATCCTTTATGTAAATTTGATTGTTAAAGAGATAACAAACGTATAGAAAAATAAATGTCGAGTGATATTTAACCTTCCTTAATGAATCGGACTCGTATGTAAATTATGTTACGACAGGCAGAGCTGTTGATGCTGCAGACGAAATAAGTAGATGTCGCAACATATATTCAACCAAATCAAATGATTCTCTCGAGTTAGTTGCATATAAAGCAATAAATATGAATACCCGCTTAGTGAAGTATAAGCGCATGGCGATCATTTCAATGCTTGATGTGGTTATAATATATTAATGAGATTCCCTTGCAAATAAATATCTTGAGAAACTGGATGGCTTGGCAACTGACCGTAAGTCATTCCTAGAAATAACTGACATGCCATAAAGGCTTCAGTCAACAGCGAAGAAAGACCCTTGAAACGCGTAACTGTACTACAGCTGAAATAAATATTTTGCCTTCTGCACTAAATGTTGAGCATAAATCAACAGTATATCAGCACCTTGTGCAAAATGCGGGAGGGTTAGGAAACATAAAAATATTGAAGTTTCTTTGCGCTTTTATTTGTTTTTAAATTGAAAAATACTGTTTCCTAAACAAATAACTATTTCTACGAATTCCCCAAATTTTTCGTTCTGTTACAAGCGCAAAAAAGAATGAAAGAGAATTTTTTTTTTTTGACTGATAAAAGTTTAGTGTAACGTTGCTCTTTTTTTTTTTTTTACTAATTCAGTCTTCTAAACCAGCGGTAGCCGGGAAGCACGATCTGAATATTTATTTCAAATAATTATAACATATTTTAATTAATCATTAAATAACTTTCATTAATTTAAATAAAAAATAAACAAATTATGAAAACTGTCTAAGTTTCCAGAGAAAAAAATTTTTTTAAGTAGGACAACGCTTGAGAGTAATTTGTTTATTAAATCTTCTTAGACGTTTACATGAAAATAGCTATGTTTTATATAAATAAATTGTAAATTTTTATTTATTAAAATCACTCGATGACATTTCGATTCTGACAACACCGTTAGTAACCTTGGAGAGAAATTACTTTCATGATGGGTTGTAGATCGATCAATCGGTTTCCTTTCTTATCAATTTTGGAAACAAAACAAAAAAAACTTTTTATATATAAATGAATTTTCAAACGAAGCGATAATTCTTAGTGTAAAAATCTGCAGCTTATTTATTTTTGGATAAATAACAATGAAGGGTAATAAAATCTGTATCTTCATATCATGATAAATTTTACATTATAAAATAATTAGCTCTGTAATTGGTAATTAAACTTTGGTCCGTCATTCATGTCCTATTTTAATGGTAATAAAAATAATATACGCTCAAGTAATTAAAATCTTGAAATCTTCGCAACACTGAGTATGAAACAAATATATAACCAAAATGTATTCCTGGGCACGTAAAATTGCTTCGGGGACCGCCCACCTATTTGAGACCACTGTTCTAAAACACAGTATAGACCAACAATCTACTTTTTCGGCAATGTATTTGCAAGATTAAAAACAGAGTGTATTTAGATAATACACAGTTTTGGACAGTGATCTAGGCCTTAACTGAATAACTGATGAATTCCTGTCTTGTGCAGACATCAATTTGAACGCAAACTTTGACATCATTCTATGCATTTGAAAGGTCGTATGAACTTTCTTTGAATGTTAGCAATTTTTTATTTAATTTGGCATTATATACCAAACAAAGTAAAATTTTCTAAAGGTCAATGAAATATGCCCCATAAACACGAACTACCTAATGCAATAAAAATTAAAGCAAATATTCTCGGAAATGTATAAACTGTTTCCCAAACAAAGGAACTGGTGTTTATAATCGATGAAGTTTATGATGATGATTGCGTCCAAGGCCACTAGCCAAAAAGCTCAGGTTATTTCCAACGCTCACGTCAGTTATTTACAGGAGTGGGAGATAGAAGCCACAAAGGGAGCAGTTCTGCTGAGCAGATTATAAGTCAGTGACGTCATACAACAACAAGCTTGCAGTATAGTAATCTTGATTGGTTCTAGTGTACGGAAAGATTACTGTCGCGCGTTTAAAAGGAAGACTAATGAGAGGAGCTTTACTTCAAAAGTGATTATTTTCGCTGTGATACAGACACATATTCATAAATACTCATTTACACTGTCAATACCGGTGATTGTTGAAACAATGAAAACTACTCACGTGTCTTTGATGACGTTGAACGAGTTAGGTGAAGTACAGTCCACACTCCAATCCAAGTTTCCATGCTCGTTGCAGATGCTGATACTAAAGCGGCCATAGTTAGCCCTCAGTAAGTGAATCATATGGCCTACATCACAACTAATCCTCAGCTGTCGCCCTTCACATGCGTATGCCGTCAGATATCTGGTTTCTTCTGCGGGGGAGAAAAACAAGAATTAATGCAAAATTTAAAGCAAATGGAACAAATTTTAGCTAAGAACACGAAAAAATTCAGTGAAAGATTATCTTACATATGAATCGTAAATTTTATTTTATGAATTTAATTTGCAGTGATAGAATTTACATTAAGTGTAAAACAGACCCACATTGTTCCTCTTTTAAGAATATTTAGAGCACACCCACATTGTTCCTAGAATATTTAGAACTCCACAAAATTTTGTAAAAATCTGTCTAATTCTTACACAATTTATTGAAAATAAAAACTTACACAGAGCATAAACTGGTGTGCAAAAATTAAGGACGAAGTCGAAAAATTAGCATATCAGCTGAACGAAGAGGCAGAGCGGACAGAAAGACCAATCAGGAGATTAAGTATAGTGATGTACGGTAGCACATGCGCAGATATGCAGGTAGACGTAATTAGGGAGTGTCTGAGTAGTATAAAGCATGTTGTCGGTGTAAGATCAGTATTTCTGGCAAAGAGATTGCACGCCGTATAGCAGTTAAAATCACACCGAGTTGCTGCCTCAGCCAGAAATGGCGAATAATCAATCTGTTAGACGACATCTGAATGCTTTTACCCGAGGTCGAATCATTGGGAAGTTGGAGGAAGGCCGCAGTGTCACAAGTGTGGCTGCAGAGTTCGGAATTGCAAACAGCATCGTTTCACGACTTTGGAGACAATTTCAAACTACAGGAACAGCTATCCAGGGGTTTAGTAGGGGTCGTCCACGAGGAACCACACCCGCAGATGACTGGTATATTGCCTTACAGGCCAAAAGAAACAGGCGGCAGACAGCGGGAGAAATCGCTATACACACGACACAGGCGACTGGACAACCGATATCGCGTTTTACCGTGGCCAGAAGACTGCACGGTGGTGGTCTGTTTGCACGACGCCCTGTACGGTGTGTACCTCTAACGCCTGCCCATCGGAGAAGGCGTTCTCTGTGGTGCCGGGAGCACCGGAATTGGAGAGACAATGAATGGGGACGAGAACTCTTTACAGATGAGAGCAGATTCAGTCTGAGTAGCGATTCTCATCGCATACTCATCTGGAGAGAGCGGGGAAGCCGCAATCATCCCTCGAACATCATTGAAAGGGATAGATATGGAGGTGGCGGTGTTCTCGTTTGGGGAGGCATCATGCTTGGTAGTCGTACAGACCTTCACATCTTCGACGCAGGTTCAGTCAACGGGACCCGTTATTGTAACGAGATTCTTCTTCCATATGTGCGTCTTTTTAGAGGCGCTATGGGTCCGCAGTTCCTTTTCATGGACGACAATGCACCATGTCATCGCACAGTAGCTGCTGAACAGCTCTTAGAGAGTGAGGATATTGAACGTATGGATTAGCCGGCACGATCTCCTGATCTCAATCCCATCGAGCATGTATGGGATTTTCTAGGCAGACGCTTGGCAGCTCGTACCTTACCACCAGTAACGATTCCGGAGCTTCGATTGGCGCTGCAAGACGAATGGGCAGCAATGCCTCAACAACTCATTGACACCCTCATTCTCAGCATGGGCAGACGCTGTGAAACCTGCCTAGCAGTCAGGGGAGATCATATCCCCTATTAAAGACCGGATGTTTCTTGCTGGACACCCATCACAGGGATGTTTTCGGCCTTCAGTCGCATTGCGCGCTCCATGCTACTTTTTTCAACAAAGCTTCTTTTTATCCCTCTGATTTCTCTTTTATTTTAAGTAAGTGTTGCTTACATTACTCATGTCCTTACGTATTGGGGATCTTACGGTATTAAATGTGTTGATTTGGAAAGCTTTTGTACAAAGTTATATTGAAAAAACCGTCTCGTCCTTAATTTTTGCATACCAGTGTATATTTGTAATTACATTTACTTGCATATGTTTGTAACGAACAAACGCACCGCGATCTTAAATTAAGTTCCAATTCACTGATTTAACCAAATCTATCAATGTTCGTTCTCTGATAATCATACGAAATTCACATTTCTGTCTCTTAATTTGTTTTCTCTTAAGATTGCCCTACAAAAATCAAATTTGTCTTTAGCCAAATTTGTTTTGTCCGGCCCACAAAAGTTGTAGCTTTAATCCTTTAGTCTAAATACATTTAACCTACTACGTTGCATTTACCTTGAACATTTAATAGTAAATTATATTTAATTCACAATTTTTCCTACAGCTTTACATTCATTTCGGGAAATGGCTTTCGACAGGCTTTTCGAGTATAGAAATTTTAGAACTATAGGCGCGTACTCAAAAATAATTACGTTCTATAATATTTATATTGATGAAATAAAAAGTGATGACTATGGCAAATATATTTATATTTTTAAATTAAGATTGATGAAATTAGCAATACAATATTTACATTTCAATATTAAGATTGACGAAATTAATAATATAGCATTATTAAAGCTAACTAATGTTGGTATTGATTGATTAACTAATAATTAAATATATTTGCATGTTACACAATATCTGGGGAACTGAAAATTTAATGAAAATACACACTCAAAACTTCTATGGGATGGAATGTCTTATCGAAAAAATTGCTACTGAAGAAATGCTTCTTTTTAATAACGTCGTGAAAACATATCGACCAAAGTTTTCGAATTACTGATAAGGAAACAATGAATGACCCTTTAAGTGCAGTTCACTACATGTAACTCAGGACACAATGGATTTATGAAAATCTGATGTTATCTAAATAGGATATAGATGAAAAAAAAAAAAAAAATAGGCTCTAGAAACTACAGTTGGCATAAAACGTTTAATGCACCAGAGAGCAGATTTGTAAAAATACGCGTTCTGCATGCGTACTAAGCTTCCTTCGGTAAGTCAAAATTTCGCAAAGGATGTACTTTGAAGACGTATAATTACGTTTAGCTCTTTTCTGAGTTGAAAAAGTACCTACTTGTACCTATTTTTATATTACATTTTTCCTGCATTTATATCCTCCCTCTTCCAATAAAAGAAGATGAGTTCTCTGGATAAGTAACGTCACGAAAGAGTTTTAAATAATTATTGCAAATTTCGTAGAGGGCAAATTCGCATGTCAATTACTGTCACAGTTTCCTTACTTTTACCTAAAAGAAAAGTAGACTGATCTAAACGCGGGAAAAACATAACGAGCCTCGTAAAACATAAAACAGAAGTGAGGCGAGGGTGAGGGAAGGGCAAGGAAATCTAAAGCCAGGGAGCGCGGAGTTACGTAATTATAGGGCCGTGAGTACGGGACCCTTGGGATAATGAAGCAAAGTCGGGGAGGGGCGGCACTTCTTCGCTTGGGGAGGGCCTGTAATGGACTACGAGAGGCACACCACTGACAGATGGCACGCACGCAATTTCTGAGAAGATTGTCTCGGGGGTTGACCCCTTATTGCCCTTGTCATGTCCAGGATTTGGTGTTTCCCATGGTAAGCGAATCTGTATCAAAAGCCCTTGATGCTAATGCGGGGTTGAAAATAAACTAGTTTTCCAATGTCTTCCGAAACTATGAGAAGTGTATTTCAGTGGGTTCACAGTAGATGGCGACACACGTCGTCCAATAGCTAGCTACGACACATACAGCTTAGGAAAGTAATTTATGGATAAAAAAGAATAAATATTACTAAATTATTCACATCAAAATGTGACTGTGAATTGTTTTGGTACTCATTTTGTATTCATTTATTTTTCCGCAATTACAGTTAAGTGATGTAATAACAGTAAACTAAAGGATTCGATTTAATAACAAGAAAGTATTTTATTTTAGAAAACTTGAAAATAAAGAACACAGCATCTCTTCATAGAAATACTGCGCTATATATACAGCATCTGTTTGAATCGAAATATATGAACTATAATATGTATCAGTATAATAAAGGTACACAAATACACTAGTATATCTGTATGAACAGTTATAATTCTAGAATAGATGTAACCATTTGTATATGTTTATAATGTATATGCACTTGCAAACATATAGATACCATGTTATACTGAAGACTATTAACATAGTACCTGTTGAAAAGATACATAATATAATGTTTATAATGTGTAACTGCTGTTGCCCCCCCCCTCAGTAATATGCAATGAAAAGTATCTGCAATAGTGAAAAAATTCATTGTTAAATTCTTTTACTGATTTCCTATTTGATGCGTTTTTAAAGAAAATCGCGAATGTCAGACAACAGGTTTTTCAATATACCTTTGTTTCTGAGTAAGTGTAGTATTAATCTGTATAGGACAATGAATACATTCTTACTGTGAAAGAAGTCATGTATTTACACGAGGACTCTACTTAATACAATATGTATTATTAAAATCTAAAAGATGCAGCATACTGAAAATATTCTTCCTCATTAAATTTACCACTCTCAAGGGCAAATTGGGCTATTAAACAAAGAAACAGATAAAGAAAGAAAAGGGAAAGATTGAAAAAATAAAGAAAAACTCGCTAGAATTTTTTCTAATGCAAGAAAAAAAAAAAAAAGATAAATAAAACGCGAATGCAACTTTCCCTTCCTTCCCCCCCCCAAAAAAAAGGTCGAATTTAAGATAATTAGCTGGATATTCTGAAATGTTAATGAATTTCCCATGTCTCTACTTCTATTTCGACGATTAAGTACTAAAATTTACATCTAAAACATATCCACTTTCTTGAATAAGTTAGATATGTCTGGAAATGTAGTATGTCTGTTCACGATTTTAAATTTCAAAGCATATTTCGTCACAGATGTCAGTTTGTACTTGAGATTAATATGCTTTCTCTAAATGCCAGGCATGAAAAGTGTTATTCATATAAATACATAGTGTACACAGTAACAGAACAGAATATAAGATGAAGCGCTGAAGACAATTGAAACACCTTATAATTTTTAAGTATTTTTTAAATATATCTAAGAAGTTTGTTTATATATACATATATATATAATTTATTTACTAATAATTTAATATATATATATATTGGTGAGGGCTCCTTAGTAAAACATCAATATAATCACAAAAA